AAAAGAACAGAATGGAATAAATTCTGCGAAGCTTTGTCACCTGGTACCCCTTCAGCAATAGTCTGGAATGAACTTAAAGGATTCCGTAGAGCTAACAACCGTCGTAACTTGACTGCCAACGATTCCTCAAGCTGGATTGAAGCGTTTGCTGATAAATTAGCTCCTTCATCTGTCCCAAATGCTGACTGCCTTCCCATCAACCCCAATATCCACTTTCCCTCCACAGACATCATAGACGGAGCTTTTACCTTTGAAGAACTTCAAAAAGCGCTTTCTGGCCTTAATGATACATCTCCAGGTCTAGATGGAATTCCATACTCCTTTTTAATTAGAGCCCCAGACAAATTAAAACAATATTTCCTAAAATTAATTAACCTTTTTTATGATAAAGCTCTCATCCCTGAACAATGGACAAAACAGATTGTGATTCCAATACTAAAACCGGGTAGGAACCCATCCGACCACTCCTCTTATAGGCCTATAGCCCTTTCGTCGGTTCTCTTAAAAGTCGTCGAGCATATAATGAAAAATCGCCTAGAGTGGTTTGTAGAAAGACATGACATTCTTGCTAAATCACAGTTCGGTTTTAGAAAAGGATATAGCACTTTAGACAGTCTCAGTACTCTTACAACAGACATCCGTTTAGCGTTAGTGAAAAAAGAATACCTAATTGGAGTATTCCTGGATATATCGTCTGCATATGACAACGTCCTTATTCCGGTGCTCAGGCAGAAAATGCAACATCTGAACATCCCAGTGAAGTTGGTTCGATTCATTTGCAACCTGATAACGTCCAGGTCTATTTTGATAAGGTCTCAAAACCATACATTGGCTAGGACTGTATGGAAAGGCCTACCACAAGGATCGGTTCTTAGCCCCATACTTTACAGTTTATACACTTTCGATATGGAACTTTCGGTGAACCCCTTCTGCCAGATTTTACAATACGCTGATGACGTAGCCCTTTACGTCACAGTGAAATCAATACCGGAGGCTACTTCACGACTTAACTCTGCTCTATCATATCTCGGTGATTGGCTGTCTGACCATGGACTATCCGTCTCCACACCAAAATGTAGCACCGTAATCTTTACAAAGAAACGAAACATCCCTGCTCCGAACATCAAATTTCAGGACTTCACAATTGAAATTAGGCCTTCAGTAAAGTTCTTAGGGATGATACTTGACTCTAGACTCACGGGTACTGAGCATTTCAATAATATTGCCAGTAAGGCAGAAAAGGGCGTAAACGTTTTGCGAGCTTTGTCTGGCGTCTGGTGGGGCGCACACCCAGTAACTCAAAGACTGCTTTATAACGCAATAATTCGTAGTCACTTTGACTATGGCTCATTTCTCCTTGACCCATGCAATAAAACAGCTCTGGATAAAATCAACAAAATCCAATCGAAGTGCTTACGAATTATACTAGGGGCAATGAAATCCTCCCCCATCAATGCCCTTCAAATAGAAGGGGGCGATCCCCCACTTTTTCTGCGTAGACAATACCTCAGTGACAGATTTCTCCTTAAGGTTTTACAAAATGAAACTCACCCATTGTTACCTTCTTTAGACAAGCTGACCCATTTATCAAATATAAATTCTAATTCTTCTCATAAAGTACCCTGTATAGTTACTAGTTATTATAAGTTCCACCGCCCATCCATTTCCATTGAAAAATTTCCTTGCAACCCTTTGTTTTTAAACAGCTTCGAGTCTTTAGTTTTCGATCCGCCCATCTCACTTAATCTGGGTATTGAAAAACAGTCACCCAGTTCAAATAAATCCTTCAATGAGGTAATGTGTAAAAACTGGCCGCATTGGCTTCAAATATTTACGGATGCATCCAAGATTTCAGATACTGAGAGTGTTGGAGCGGCAGTATGGATACCCAAGTATAAGATAGTCCTGAATTTTAAAATACCACCACCCTCATCAGTCTTTACGGGTGAAGCAATTGCAATATTGGAGGCAATTTTATATTGTGAATCACACAATTTAAACCGCTCAATCATCCTATCCGATTCTCTTAGCTGCCTTCAGGCAATATCCTCCAATCCCATGCGGTCCAAATCTCGCTTCCCAATTATCCTCAAAATTAGAGAAGCTTTACTTAGATGTAAAGTGAAAGAAATAGAACTGATGCTGAGCTGGATCCCAGGTCACAGTGGCATACACGGCAATGAAACTGCTGATTCGTGTGCCAGGAATGCAATCTCCACTGGTTGTACTAGTCATTCCGAACTTACATATAACGATCTCATCCCTCTCCTTCATTCTCATCTATCGCAATCATGGGAGACGCATTGGACAAACACTAAAAATAAGAGTGGAAAGTACTACTTTGACATCCAACCAACTATTCCAACAAAACCTTGGTTCATAAAACAGAAACATACTCCCAAACAGGTTGTATCAGTGTTATGCCGTCTCCGCATTGGACACGCAAGCTTACCAGTTCATTTGGCCAAAATTAATGTTAAGGATAATCCCCTTTGTGAGTGCGGCCTAGATGAGGGATCTGTAGAACACACACTATTTGACTGCCCCAAACTCTTGTATTCCCTGTATGATGTACTCCCACAAGAAGTTCCTCGCCCCATTAATATTAAAAATGTGCTTCAACTGGTTAATACACCCTGTTTAAAAACACTAATTAAATTTATCTTAAGTAATAAGTTAAAATTATAATGAACCATTCCTTATTTCCCCCTTACTAAAATGTTATGCCTGTATATGTGTTGTGTTGTGTAACGTGATGCATGCGATAAAATGTGTTTTGTTTCAGGTTCGTTATCGACATAGAAAGTGTATAATTATTTATTTAAATATTAGAATCTCTTTTCCAAATTAATTATGTATAGAATCCCTATCGTGTAGTGGCTATCCACGTGAAATTGGCGGAATTGTGCAAAACGCGCAGATAAGCCATCAATAAAAGAAGAAGAAGAAGTAAATAGCGAAAAGATGTGAATCTTTTGTTATATTTTAATCTTGTTGCATCAACGGTATTTAAGTAAAAATACTTAACATTTAAATAATGGTTAGCATTGTTCTTCATGGAATTATAATTATTTCATAGTATTTTCCTGTTTTCAAATTTTTTTTATCTTCGCAGGTGGAAACATAAACCTAGATAGGGGTCCACCTTGCCCCATGTCACTTGAGTTTTTTTGTTTTAAAACGGTAAGTTTTCGACAGAATCGACCGATATATTTTCCTTTGTTTTGTTTTCTAAATTTTAAACGGTGTGATTTCTTTTCAGCCGTTGGCGTTTTAATTTTAATTTTTAATTTTTTTATATACAACTTTTCTTGTACTTCAATTTTGATGTACTGAATAATAACCTTTACCGCATGAGCCACGCCACACTCACTTGATACATCACAATCTTGGGCACGCCAGCTTAGCACGATATAATTAAGAAGCAGCTATGTAAGCACGACGCATTAAGGAGCAGCTCATTTGGTGATGTAAAACCTTTTTATTAATAGTTCCAAAATTCTAATCACCTCTAGACTTTGGAGATTATAAACTTAACTTTAATTTTAGAATATATAAAAGTTTCATTCAAATATATGGCAAACCGAAAGTAAAATTGTTGTTCGTTATTTACAAGCCCCCGTTGCGATTAAAATTCCAAACTCTCCGGCTTTGTTTTCCAGGTAGGTCTGACGCCTGAAAAATTTATACTAGTTTCTTATAATTATTTAATTTGTTAGTGACCTACCTCTTGGCAAATTTCTTTGCAAACTTACATTCAACTTTAATATCTAAAAATTAGACTCACAAAGATATAATTATTTTTAATATCACAATTTTCACAGTAATTATTTTCTAATTGTCACCATTAACACGGATAAATATTTTTTTTTTTTTTTAATATTACAATTGACGCCAGCTCACAGGGACTTGGTTTTGAAGTAGCGAGCTCAATTTACAAGCTTTTTGGTTTGCCATTTTATAAAAATTTTATTCGAGTGTGGTTCAAATTAAATTAAACATTATTATGTTATGCCTACTTTACTTTAATGTCATAATAACTAATTTGTGTGTACTACTTTATTTTCCCTACCATTTATCTTTGGATTTGTTGCTTGCGGCTAAGCATTTGCTTACTTCTGTGAATACTTGCTGTGTTTACACCATTTAATTCACAAGTGATAATGTGAAAAATATTTTTGTTCAATCACCTACTAAAAGAATTTACTAGGGAAAGTATAAACAAACAGACAAACTCTGTATTGTCCTTTTGTTTAAACTGATTAAAACATAGCTATTTGATGTGATCATTTGGTTCATACTTTGTTTTTTACATTTCTAAATGCAAATTCACAAAGGTTATTCTCTTGTTTATGCTATAAAAGAACTTTATGTTCAAATATTTTATACCTATTATATAAAATAGTTTGTTACGTTAAGCTTAAACTTTTATAACAGGTTTATTTTATAAAAGACAATGTTCTGCAGGTTATTTTGAGTGGTTGAAGAAGGTATACTTTTTATTGAAATTAAACATAGAACAATAATAGGTATTAATTTAAATTGTCATAAACTTAATATTTGAAATTAAATTATTAAAACTTATGTTACAACTTAAAAATATATTAGACTTAAAGTAATTTAAAACTTAACTGAATAATAATTTAAAATATTGTGGTAATTTATAGTTATTGGACTTGTAATAATTTTCATTATTTGCATTTACTTAGAACTTGAAGTTTTAAAATTAACTTTGAAATTTTTTGTTATTGAATAAGTGTATACTTAATTTAAGATTAATTTAAAACATTTAGCATTAACTTAAAACTTTTTTTGTTATTTGAGTCATATGATTACAGTAACAATTTACATAAAACAATTGGAACTTAGTTGAATTTTGACAAATTATTTTGACATAGGTTATTAAATTTGTTAAACTTGCTGCATCTTGCTGACCTTTTTGTGTCTTTATTTTAGTGAATTGAATAATAATTTCACTGCTATTTTTGCATTCCACAAAAATGGAAACGGAAAAACTTGCACTAGCTACTGCTTCACAGCCTAAGGAACAGCCAATTACTGTTGCAACAGATACAAGTGATTTAGCTTCACCGCCTGCTTTTATACGCCCACTTGTACCTGAATTGATAAATTTGACTGATAATATTACACTACACAATTCAAGATTGCTTGATTCGCAACTAGCTTTGCAACCAGCAACCACAAATGCTTCACACAATAGTACAAATTTAGGTCATAATTTTGGTGTTGACAATTTGAAAAAGTCAACATATTATAAACGTCCTGATGTCTCCAAAAGTAAAATTTTGTTTGATGGTAAGTCTTGTGTTAGTGAATTTATAACTAGTGTTGATGAGTACATGGTTTCCAGAGATATTGATGAATACTTTATTGTCACATCGTTTTCAGATTTTCTTACTGGTGTTGCAAAAAAATGGTTCCGTGCTGTTCGAGTGAATTATAGTTCTTGGTATTCTCTTAAAGTCGATTTACTTAAACGTTTTGATAAACTTGATTTTGATTACCAACTTGAATTTCTTTTACGCACACGTAAACAAAAATCCACAGAAAGTTTGTCTGATTTTATAATAGAACTGCAGGATATGTCTTTTCGTCTTTCTGATCCACTTTCGGAACAAAATTTAATTAACATTATTAAAGCATAATATGTTGCGCTCATATGCCATGTATTTTGTTGGCCGAAACATAACTTCTATTGACCAAATTGTTCGATTGGGAAGAGAAATTGAAGAACTCGCTTCAGATGGTAATTCTATTAAATCGGAGTCACGCTCATCTTGTTCTAGGGGTAGTAAAATTCATTTAGTTAACGTTAAAAGTGATAAAAATTTATCTTGTTTAAAATGTAAACTTCAAGGTCATAACTATAGAAATTGTTCAAGCATTCCTGGCATTATTTGTTTTAATTGTCACAGACACGGAGTGACTACCCTCACCTGCGGCTGTAATAAATCACAAAATTGTAACAAAAAAGTCGAAATTTCAGAACCGGTTCCAAAAAACTAATTAGGCCTCATCGAGCTCCGCTTTGTAGCGAAGTGCGTCGAGACTCGATGGAAAATAGAAATGTTAATGTTAATAGTGGACATAGAAAAGAATTTGATGATTGGATAAATTTTTTGAAGGTATGAAATTTACTGTGGTCACTGATCATGCGAGTTTAAAATGACTTTTAAACTTGAGTATGTTGTCGCAGTGAAGAGGTTTTAAGTTCCTGAACGACTACCGCGCGTCCCTTCCCGCCAAGACGGGCTCAGCGCGCTTTCTGACACTATGGCCAACGGACAATATAAAAAGGAGTGTATAGTCTTCAGAGAAACTTTTGCTTGTCGCCACCAACGAAGCAACTACGGAGACATTCATAGTTATAGACGTAATCTCATCTTTATTAATTCGTGTATTCTGCATTGCTATGAAATGATAATGTTCGGATTATAATGTATATCATGTAGAAATATTAGAAGTATTGCTTTCTTGTGATTATTGCATATATATTCATTTACAAGCTATTGGTTATTTGTTAAAGTATATTAAGATTAGTAGTGATTAAGGACAGGGTTTACTTATGATGTAATTAAATATCGTGTTTAATATGTGTTTTATTATATCAGAAGTGGGATCGTCGACATGCCACGTGCCCGGAAACGGAAAAATGAAACCCGGTCAAGACGACTGTCATCCACGAGTTCAAGCTCATCTCAAAGTAGCAGCGGTAGCGGGGACAAACGCCGGAGAAAAAGGAGATATCGTGATGGATCACCAACCGTGAGTCAGAATGTTGTACTATCTTCAGTGATTCCAGAATTCGATCCGTTAGTTGATAAGGTAGTGTAAATGATTAAAATTAGTGACCTAATAAGTGTCTTAATTCAATAGACTGCAGACTATAACTTCTATTAACTTTCAATATTTAAATTATACTCTCCATTATTAAGTCTTATTCGATATAGTGTTGTTACTATTTTTAATAAACCTCTTAAGTTTCTGCTCATAGACAAACTTTATATTCTACAGTGTATGTGCGCCTTTGAGAAGTATAGAGCACAGACTGCGTAGTCTATTATAAAACATGGACTACGTAGTCTGTGATAAGCATAGACAAATTAGTCTATGATGATAAAATGTCTACGATTAAGAGAAAAGATGGCGATATTGGCATTCTTGTGACGACTGTTATCCGAGCTAGACGCTCAATAAAATATTGACTACTGTGTTGGCATTATCATTTCTGGACAACCTTACAGTTCAGAAGTGTTCGTTTTTATCCTCACGTGCCAAAATGAGTAACCGAAGACTACGACATCCTGTCATTTCAAGTGACGAAGAGCAGGCGCCGCCGCCACCCACAAAAAAATCAAGAAAATCTAAGCGCCCAAATAATAGTGAACGCATAGGGCGACTGGAGCAATTGCTGGAACAACTCATTAGGCAAGGATCAACGGTGAATCAAAATACAACGCCTGGAAGTCCCATCGAAGATTCCACAACGCCAGGTACCCTTAATCATAATACTACCGTCATTTCTTGTACAGATCCTTTAGCATCCGTAGAACTTGATATAAATGCTACTCAAGTCTCTCCGATTCTTAACGAAATCAATATGCCTCTACCCTCCATATTGCCAACAAGTGATATAACCACTCGAAGCTTAAATTCCTGTGTAAGCCACGATTCTGGCGATAAAGAGCATGATTTAAATCAGTCTACATCACAAAAGTTAGTCAATAATGCAAATACTTTACGGTTCATCGGAAAACCTGATAACGTGCCTAAATTTAGCGGCAATACTAATACTCTGTCTATTCACACATGGTTACACCGACTGGAGTCATTGGCGAAAATTTACGGGTGGGACGAGAAAACTTTGGTGTACCACATGACTGGCAACCTGGAAGGCAACGCGCTGCTGTGGTTCAATCATCAACAAAATATCGACATCTCTTGGGACGAATGGAAGAACCGTCTTGCTGCTTATTTTCCTGCTGGCCGAGGACTCGCCGCCAAATTACATGACTTCGTTACAACCAACAAACATCGGGATGAGAAGGTAATAGATTTTTATTATAAAAAATTAGCGCAGGGTAAATCATGTGAGCTTACCGATACTGTGATTTGTGATGTTATAATTTACACTTTAAGTGATCCATTGCTCAAAGCTGGGGCTCGTGGTGCAGGTTGTAGGGATACACGTGCATTGTTAAATTATCTTACCGATGCGGCAGTAGATGACTTACCGTCAAAAGGTAGTGAATCTTTTGAAAATCGAATTAAGTGTTTCACTTGCGGTAAGCGAGGTCACATTACAACTCAATGTAGTAATAAATTACGTTGCGAAATCTGTAATAAAATTGGTCATAAAACAGAGAACTGTAGATTTTCAAAAAAATGTTCATTTTGCAATAAATTAGGTCATGATCGTGATGAATGTTATAGTCTTAAAAATTCCCAGAAAACTAAAAATAATACAGATTTAAAATCCGAACAAATGTATGGAAAAAAATCAAAAATATTTAATATCCATCCGGTAGATTTAGGTGATCGTAAATATCATAAAACAGTTGTAGCTAACGGTATTAATTTATCAGCTTACATTGATTTAGGAAGTGCTTGCAACACTATTACCTTATCGGCAGCTAGAAAAATTAAACTCTCTTATAATAATAAGTGTAGTACTAGCATTAGAGGGTATGGTGGTCAGATTATAACACCGGACGGTGAAGCATCAATTCAGCTTTGCATTGATGGAGTTTCTGTCTCTACTCCAGTACTCGTAGTTAGTGATAGCCTTCAAGATACAGATATGATTGTGGGGCGTGCCTTTAGTGAACTGCCTGGTATTTGTCTCTCTAAGACATCTGATACCTTAACATTTTCGAGAAATTTAGCTAATAATACTAATGAAGATGAGCTGCCATTTGCAAACAATATAGAAATTCCTTTATCTAAAATAGAACTCAGGGTGCCACATGATACTTTATTAATACACGGTTTAAATAAAATAGTAATTTACACAGATGATAACATAGACACAAACATAGTCCAAATACAGCGCTCTGAACATAGACCTTTAGGCAAAGAAGTAGATATACCAGAACAAACAACAATAATTCGTGGTAGTTTTGGATTTTTAGATATCTATAATTTACAGTGTCAACCTCTTACACTCTATTCAACACGTTGTATTGCTAGAGGTCATATAAGTAAAAATGATGATAAAGTCGATACTGACTTAGAGGGTGACGATTTAATTATTTTAAAAAAATTGCTACAAAAATATAAGCATTGCTTTGATGACGGTCCAGGGATGACTATTGGTCAATGTGAAGTTGAAATGAAAATAGAGCTTATGAGTGAAACGCCTTTTTATTACCGTCCCTATCGTATGTCCATAAAAGAACAAGATATCGTCCGTGATATAATTGAAAATTTAATTAAAGATGATGTCATTGAACACAGTAACTCACCTTATGCGAGCCCAATAATACTAATTCCAAAAAAATCGGGAGAATATAGGATGTGCGTTGATTATAGGCAACTAAATAAGTTAACCGTAAAAGATCGTTATCCACTCCCAATTATACAGGATCAATTAGATAAATTAAGTAGTGAAAAATGGTTTACCAGGTTAGATTTAGCTGCAGGATTCCACCAAATAAAAATGCACTCTGATAGCAAGAAGTACACGGCATTCGTTACACCTTTCGGACAATATCAATACAAAAGAATGCCCTTTGGTTTAGCGAATGCTCCAGCCGTTTTCCAACGTGCAATAAATGCATTACTCGATCAATTTAAATTTGAATTTGCAACGGCTTATATCGATGACATTCTTCTATCTTCTAAGACTATTCCCGACGGTATGGAACATCTCAAAAAAATCCTTGACCTTATAACTAAATCTGGGCTCATATTGCGTAAAAACAAATGTTGTTTTCTAAAGACACAAATTGAATATTTAGGCCATGTTATTTCAGTGGGAGAAATTCGACCCTCTCCTGATAAAGTAGAAGCGTTAAATAATTTTAAAGAACCAACTAATATTCACGAGTTAAGACGTTTCATTGGGTTGGCAAGTTATTTTAGAAAATTCGTTAAGACTTTTGCCCTTAGGATTCGACCGCTATCTATATTGCTTAAAAAAGACCAACCGTGGCAATGGGGAGAAGACCAACAGAAATCTTTCGAAGATATAAAGTTAGCTTTAACCTCTGAAC